CACCCTGCCCTCTCCAGGCCAGTTCCTCCTTCATCGCTAGCCCTGGGGATTTCCCAAGTTTTGCTCATAGAGACAATGCTGCAGCAGACTAATGAGATTTCTATACTGTGAATCAAAGCTTTTATTTAGATAGAGTAGATGACCAACAGTAGACCTTTACGACAAAGGGTATATGGACATTAATGATGATGGTCATTGCCAGAGTCCTTTCCAAAAAAATTCTAGGAATTAACACGTTTTTCAGGCTAGATAAGCAATATCCTTTTCTAATAATACAAGATTTCATGGAATATATACATATGAAATTTGGAAAATCTTTTAAAGAACAAGAAATCAATATTAGCTCTGTGGAGCTTCTCTAATCCCATGTACTATCAAAAGGTGAAAAATCTATCTCCCCCTCTTTGCTAAATGGACTTGTTTCCTTCGCCCTCTCCCCCTCCTCCTCCTCACTGAGGCCGAGTGGGGCCCTGTATCTATGAGTGTTTGCTCTCCCCCATGGAAGCCTTCAGCACATAATTCCACCACTCAGGAAAGCAAGAGAAGACAGTTACCTGACCAGTGCAAAGTAAGCTTTAAAAATACTGCTTTTCTTTCATTCTTGAATAGGAGAAAAAAGCTAAAATTCCTCCAAGGGCTACTTGCAACTATTTTTCCAAGTAAATTATTTCATCCAGTAACTTAAAAGTAGTATAAATTTTAAAATATAAATTATAAATAGCCTTTATTAACTAATATTCCAAACCAAAATAATTTTTTTTTTGTACTGGGGATCAAACTCATGACCTTGTGCTTGCCAGGCAGGCACTTATGATGCTGAGCTAAACCCCAGGCCAGATCAAAATAAATTTAAGAAAAAAATAAAAAAGTAAAACTATAAAAAAATAAAACGAGACTCCAGACCAGTCTCCTGGGACCTGAACCCTAGCTCTGCCACTTATCAGCTGTGCAGCCTGCAGATGAGTCATGTAATTCCTTTAAGCATCCCTTCCCTAATGTGTAAAATGAATGTACAATAGCCCGTTTGTAAGGCATTGCAATGGATATGTATGCATGCCACAGAGGGCTGTAAGGTAGGACAGAGAACTCTCCATGACAGCCCACTCTCTCCTCCTCTGCCCATGTTCCTGTCTTGTACAAGGGGTGGGCTGGGCCCAGACCCCGAACTCACAGTCCTGTATGTGTCTAGGGTCTCCAGAGTGCTTGCATCTCATCTGTGGAGACCAGATGCAGAGTGAGGTGCAATTGCAGGTGGGTGGGCCAGAGGGTAGGCCCTTTCTCTCCTTCCCCAGGCCAGGTCTCCTGTGAGGCTTGTTCTGCAGTCTTTCAGGGCTCCCAGGGGCCTGAGCACCAGGTGCTCAGTGCCACACTTTCATGGGCTGTTTGCCCTTGGTGTCACTCTTCTTGCTCACTTGCTCCTCGGTTGTGCTTCCCTGGACAACCTCCCAACCAAGTGATAGCACGTGCTCAAATCTTTGTGCTGGAATTGACTTCCAGGGGATCTCAGCTAGGGCATCTGCTTTTTAAGCAGGGAACCAGTGTTAGGGCTCCTTCCCCCACAGTGACACTGACCTCCATCAGGTTTCACTGCACCACTTGTCTATTCCTTCATGCTAGAAGAAGACCTGGGCCTGGGTTACTACCCAGGTCTGGTAAGTACCACTCAGATTCTGAGAGCAGCAGCTGCTAAGTGTGCAGGGCTCACACTCACTGTCACCTCTAGTAGTTTAAGTACTGGAAGTGCATAGGGAGGGTTACAGTAGAGGAAGTGACACTGCCAGCAGCTTCTAGTGTTGTGATGAGATCTCCTGGCCTCCCTTGTTCTTGGTCCTGACAGGGTGCTGCCCGTCCGTCCTACTTCTAGTAGAACAGGATTCAGCACAATGGTTCAAACCCTCACAGCCCCCATGGGAAAATGTATTCTCTTGGCCACAAATGCCTAGTACGCATGTTTTGGTGTGCGTTTTACACATATTCTCTAGTCACTGCTTATACCACACAACTAAGTACCCAGAAAGACATGCCTACAAATGGAATCAGAATTCACACCAAAATAAAAATGGCAATAGATAAGAGAGGGGAAGGTCTGTGGCAATACAACTTGTGAGGATTCAAACAGGGCTTGAATTTTATCTTTTTGTTATCTTATTCTTTTTTTTCTAAGTAAAAGCTGAAACAAGCTGAGAGGGCAAGCAGATTAGTTTTCTACCCTTTGAGAGAACACAACCCTGGATGCTTGCACATAGTGGGTTCCTTAATGCAAAACTGAACCAGGGTTTATGTAAAAACACAACTGCTACCTACTTGATGACTTCTCCTGACATCCAAATTACTACCTAGGGGACAACTACACTTCCGTACTTGCTGTACAGCCACTAACTGCTACCTTTTAATACTCAGCTGAATTGCTGGAGCTTCTCCCTTCTTTAATGTTTTCCTCTACAATGCCGCCTGGGCACAGGCATGGTGGAGTGACTCCTGTGCACTTGTCCTCAGAGCTCCAGCTCCATGTGCCCTTTCTAGTCCAGCCCAAGCTTCACTGTTAGCCTCACCTCCTGCAGCTGCTTTTCTGGACCCCGCTGCCCTGCGCCAAAGTCCTTCGCCTACCCACCACACATGCACAAGTGCTGACCCTAGGAGGAGGCCTCTCAGACTGAATCTGCACTCCAGGTACAAAGTCTCCAGATGCCCTTGTTCAAAGTCACTTCCACCTTGCTCCCAACAAGTCCTTTGGACCTCTGCCAGATGGGCACCTACACTCTGGGCTTGCCAGCTCTTTCTCCTTTATCAAATCACCTGTCTGCAAATTCCCAGCAGCAACAGCCTCCTCTTCCTCCAAGGCCTACTCCAACACCTCCTCCGAGGCCTGGATGACCCACTCACAACAGAGAAAGTGGTCCTGGCTGTCCCCGTAAGACTACACCTGTTTGGAACCAGTTCATGTCACACTCTTTCCTGTGCCAAAGAAAGAACAATGTTCTCTTAAAGCACCTTCAGGGCAGAAATTGTGACATTCGCAGAGGAGCCTACTGCAGCATCTTAAACAGAGCAGCTCAACAGCTAGATACTGAATGGACAGCTAGATCCTGAACTAGGAAAGTCACTGGAAACCAACAACTCAGCGTGGAGACGAATTTATGTGGCTGCCTCAAGATGAGGTGCTCAAATTTCTGAGAACAAAGAGAACTCATGGGATATGGAACTGCTTGGAAGTTAGTCTAAAGCAAGGATTACACCATGATTTTGCTGTAATATAGTTACTTTTTAACTGACTGAAGATCAATAGAAAATTGGAAAAGGCAAGATACAAGTTTCTCAAAAGGTTACCTAATTGATTCTTACATGCAGTCAAAAGTCAAAGCTTACAAGGAGATGGCACCTTTTAGAATAAGGGAAAACACTTCTATTCTAATTAAGTGAAACATTTTAAGGAGTTGTCAGCAGTATGTCTCTTGTCTCTGTTTAAATACGACTTAAAAGAACACTCCATGACCATATGCAAAGTAAGGAATCAATAGTGCAAATAGAAAAAAAAAAAGTCTCCCGTTTTACTTAAGTACCATTGACACTGCTGTACTAAGGATGTGTCTATCAGGAGCAGCACAGAAAGCATAAACTGCTTTACAGATTAAAAACACACCAATTATTTCATGACCAAACGTCAAACAGAAAAATGGAATGGTTTAGAAGTCTATCACATCATACCACACTGTGCCTACATCTAATGGCATACAGATCATTTATCATTAAAGACCTTTTTATATAGGTCAAGGTTGCTGGGGCTTGGTGTTTTGTATCTTACAGTTTAAAGAATGCTCTAAATTCTAGTTTGTTTGTTTGTTTGTTTTTAACTTTCTAATCTATGAGAAAGAAAACTAAAACTTTCTATAAACTCAGATTAATGCCTGCTAATGCATGGAAGAAAGAAAAACTAAAACCTTCCCCCTACTATAAAAACAAAATAGTGTGGCCTCTGTTTCTTTTCTGATAAGAGTCTTAAATACCAAACAGTTAACTGCATAATAACATTTACTGGCAGCCAGGCAGCCTGCTTAGCAGATATATAAAGCAGGTAAAAGGAGAAAAAGTTAATTTCTTGGCTGAATGATTCCATCGGTAGCTATAGGGCAAACCTGAAAGTCTTTTAGTAAAGTAGCAGTTGATTCTTCTATCAATCTGTAGCACACACACTCTTCCAAGGAAAGCATTAAATATGAAAATCATATCCCGTTATCATCAGTTCCCAGCTTTCAGCCCAGTAAGCTTTTCTTAATGAATGCTGCAGCCTAAGGAACAAGCACGCTGCTGGCTTTTCTGAATAATGGAGTGATGCGAACATTTCTGCTTATTACAATATCGACCGGCTGAGGGGGTTTCACACATAGTCACAAGTGACTACTCTTGCCAGCATGCTCCAAGTTATTACAAGATGTTTTTAGACATTTCATCTAAAAGAGCTTTACTGCTTTTAGTGAAGAAAACATCTATGGTCTTGAACAGAATCATTTATATGGAGATAGGCGGAGGATTAGAAGCCTGCATTACAGCAGATACATAGCAGAATTTATTTAAGTATTCCTTGCCAGTCTTTTTGTCTATTGCTTAGATATGCAATCTTTCTTTCTTTCTCCATGAAAAGGTTAAAATGTACAAAATTATATGCAGAGAGCAAAGAAGTCAAATGAACATTTTGTTTATGTTTCATTTAAAATATTTCTCAAAGTAAGACAAAAAGTAGCTACAAAACATCATTTAGAAACCACAACTTTACCTACTAACAAGACTCAGGTTTTTTCTGGAACCTAAATCTTAGCCCCAAAGTGACTGCTTTTCAGTCAATTTAATTAGACATTAAAGCAATACTACAAAAGCAAAAATCTTTAATCACTTATGGTTTAATCAAAACATGTTATAATAAGGTAATTTTATTAAACTATCTTAAAATACAAATATTTCAGAAATCACCTATAAACAGAAAGTTTATTATTTTAATTTATTACCTTTTCTCTGCCCTCGTCTTTCAGTTCACCTTTTATTCCCAGGCTATCTTTGGAGATCAGCTGCACCTTCTTTATTTGAGTCTCATATTCAATCTAAATATAAACAAAATCTGATTTTATGATAGATTTCATTACAACCAGAAAATGTCCACATTTCGCGGTACTTACAACATAAAAGGAAAAGTGAAGCAGATAATAAAAGCTGATGCTTCCAAGAAATTCAGCTTACCTTAGACAATTTCATAAATAACACATAGCAAACACTGAATTCTATAAAACATTAGATAAATAAATCATGATTTGATGGACTTTTTAGCATTACATCTATTTACAGAATAAAATTCTGATACAGATATATACACATATTATATAGCTTGACAATCATAAAGTTATTATGAAAATCCAGTTACTTTCATATGAAAGTAAAATATTAGTGTTTTCTTTAAAAAGTTTTGTCCTGAACAAAGGAAAAATATCACTACCACTCACTTCTTATTTATGTGTTATCTCCATAACATAATCTTGGTAGTTACAGCAATTGAGAGTATTATCTGCTAGATCATCAATTTAAAGCAACTCCATTTTCTAGGAATAAAAATACTCTGTAGATAGTCATCAGTACTATAAATTCAAATTTCCTTTGGTGCTAAAAACTATATAAAGATGTCTGGATCATTATTTCACTATAAATGATGAAAGTGCTTCAATCATAAAATCATCAATCATTTTACTTAAATGCAAGGCATAAAAAGCACTTTAATTCAGTACATTAGTAATCAAAGCTTACAAAGTCCCTGATTGTGGTCCAACACAGAGAAATACAGTACTCATACATTTTCTAAATTAGGCAGGTATGCACTGCAACTAGATCCACACCTATGGGGTCATTAACTCAGGAAGCTGTTTCCGTAGCTCTTGGCTTGAATATGACATAGGCCTGGGTTTGTGTCATCACATACACATAAAATACACAGGCAGTAATAAATCAAAGCTGATGCATTTCCCTCATAAGATTTTAGAAGGTGTTATATGATGCCCCACATTTTAATAATGGGGATATATTTTTCCTGTAGCAGAATGCTATTATCATAATGGAGGGCAATAATGATCTAAATAGATAATTAAAGTTTTAAAGATCATGATACAAATGACAAAATAGAAAAGATGAATAAATAAAGCAATTATGAAAACACAATTTACATGTCTGTTCTATATGAACACCTTTGAATTTACAGATATTTAGGTTTTAATTCTAAGATCTTTAAGCAGGCATACTTTTACCAATTCCATGAGAAATTATCTTTAAAAAGCAGTAAGAGACAGAAGCATAATATATAATTAGAAGTTAAATAAAAATTCTTTTTTTCTGTGACTACAAATGTGTTTTGCACTCTTTGAGATCAGTGAGCACTGTCCCTGATCTTGTCACCATGGGGTCGTTTCAGAGCTGTACCTTCCAAAGACAGAGCACTTCCAGAAAAGCATGAGAGTTTTATTCAATTCATTATGCTGAGGCAAAATGGAAATGATAATTGCATAAGGGCTTTCTGATAATAGTAAGAAAGGTATCTTCAAGAGCTCAATTTAGTTTGTTCTCAATGCATCTGAGAAAGTTACTGAACTATAGGTCTCTTTTTTAAAATTACTGATGCAAAGAAAAACTGTACACAGTATTTTGAAATAAAAATGTGCTCCTGTATTATGACTGATACACATAAACTATATCACCTGAGATGACAGACTGATATCTAAAAGGGCTTTGATCTTTCTTTACCTTTCATTTTTCCAATGGACATCTGGTTATTACCCATCAAATCCACCCCTGAATGTGGGTGAACCGGGGCTTTCAGCTGTGCTCTACAGCTCTGAAGATTCCTAGTACCACTTTAAAAAGTTATAAATACTGTACAGGCGAACCTTTCCAAGACTTCCCCTGCTAGACATATGTAATTCAATGTCAGAGTCCATGTCTTCTTTGCATCTCCATCTGTTAGACAGCTGGTGTTTCCTCAGCAGGTTAGACAGCACGCCATCTTACTGGTACAGGCATCCGCCCTGGTGCTCTTCCTGCCACGTGGCCTGGACTGCTCAGTTAGACTTGCTGCTTCAGGGTCTACCTAACTCATGCCCAGTAACATGGCCTGGTACAGAGCTGCTCTAGAACAATCCCCTCATCCTCTGCTCCAGCTGGGAAATCTTGTCTTCGGGAATAAACTGGGGGCACTGAGTCTAAGCATCTACTAACTCATTCTGTTACTATTTGCTTCACGGCACTGGCGTAATGCTGTGCAACCCAACTGAAGTGACTGTCCATCCGCTTCACTACACATGCACATGGGTTCCTGCAGCTCGTTCACTGAAATATATTCAGGAGAGGCTGAGGGTGGGAAGGGGAGCCATAGGCACTTGTGCATGCAGCAGAGGGCTGTTATCACAGAAAGCGCTAAAAGGTTCACCATCACTGACATAGTATAATCAATACCACATCAGCTCTCCCATCACTGTTCACAGTCCCTAAGAGACACAACAAAAAATACAGAAGACTTAATTGTCCATCAGGGCGCAGGGTGGTCCCTCAGTATTCCCTGAGTGCTTACTGCGTGCCATATTGAGAGCAATGAAACTGGAAGATGAGGAGCTCATTGTGAAGAGGACAGACAGACAGGTAAACAATTCCAACCCCATGCAGGAAGTGCTTCCTGAAATAAGGGGTCTTCTGGAGGGAGGGAACAGGGAGAGAGGAGATAATGCAGGGCTCATGCAAATTGTTCAGCAGGGTTAAAGTGCTATGGGTACGTGTGAGTGAGCAAGTGAGTATATGTAAGGAGTACATGTGTGCAGGAGAGGAAGACGTAGAACAGGAGTGGGAAGATAAAGGGTAGGGACATAAAGGCTTTTGGGGGAGAAAGAGGCAGGAGCTGGGGATAAGCAAAGGCAGGAAGCCTGGATGAGGGACAAGGAAGAGATGGCAGGGACAGATGAAGATGGAGGGAGCCTATGGGTGGGAGAGAGCAGGGAGAAGAGGGAGCAAATATGCATGTCGGGTTAAGTGTGACAGTGTGTGCATGCATGTGTGTTAGTGTGTGAAGGGTGTGTTCACACAATTAGGCCAACACATGGAGACCACTTTTGAGCCTTTGTTACGAAAAATATAACCAAGGAAAAGGTACCCAAAGTGGGGATCCTGTGCCAGGCACTGCGGCTGTGGGAGGCTATGCACATGCTGGCAATGCTCTACACTTGTCCCAGAGCACTCTGGGTGCTCCGAGTTCCATTACCAGGATCTCTGTGCCTAAGACTCCTAGAACCAGGTAGCTGCTCTGACCACAGGGGGCCTGGCTAACCCTACTGCCTTCACCCACCCGTTCTCCATTCATGCCAAGTAGTGCCTGGAATACATAGCCCAGACGCTCCCAACCACTTGCCAGAGTTTTCCTGTGCAGTGAAACACAGTGGTCACCTGCAGAGGTGATACCTGCTGTGCCCCTCTCCAGTCATCTCCCCACTCTGGCTCCTGACACACCTTCTTCCGGCTGAATCCCTTTCTCAGGGGCTGCTCTGGGGAGAACCAATCTGTTTGAGATAAGACATACAGATTCTGAGATAAGCCAAAGGGCACCCTCAAGACAACCAATGCCAGGAGCAGGGAGCAGAGCAAGTGGGGGCCAGGAACCTCACAGGATTCACACTCATGCACACACTCTGGCACCAAGTTTACCAGCTTCTTTATACCCAACACTGACAAATGGCAATGTAGCCTTCCAGCCCCAAAACTATACTTTCAAAACTTCTAACACATCAATATCCTTAAAAGCCCTGACAATCTTCTTTGGTCTCCAAATAACACAGAATGATTAGTAAAATCAGCTCAAACTCTGTTTTAGCTTTGATTCCACCTTAAAATATTTTGATGGTATGTGTATAAGGTGGGCCCAGCACATCACAGAGGGAGAGAGCTACTCGGTATAATTTGGGCGGAATCCCACGTCCTCCACACTGCCTCACTTGCATTAACTTTCTTGCCTGCCACCCAGCTGCAGGAGCCATGCTCTGAGGCACACAGCCCTGGAATCTCAGGTGCACAGGCAGCACCTATAGACACCTCTGTCCTGATATCTGCCTGGGGTCAGGCAACACAGGAGGCAAAGTTCAGATGCCTGAATTGGGAGCACCAGAAAGAAATAGTGGTCCTCACACCTACAGCCACCACTTGACATGGTACAAGAGGAAGTGGCAAGGAACAATGAAAACAAAGAAAAGCAACTCCCCTGTGCAGAACCCAGAACCCATGGTGTGGCTCACTAGTTTCTGACCCCAGGGTCTGCAGTTTGAGACACAGCAAGCACAGGACTGAAGACATACAATGGCTACGACAGGACAGCTCACATCCTTCCCATTGGAGCCTCCTCATTTGTCCTCTATGTCATCAGCAGATTCCTTTTAGAGGTGTTTGTTATCTAAAATTCTAAAAAGCAACATGTATGCAAGGTTTGACCCATATATATGGATCATGCTTTTCATATTTCTGAGAACAGAGTTTGTTATTCTTTCTTTCAAATGATCCCTTATGTTGATGTTCTTTTGTAGCTCAATATGTAAGTCATAATTATATACAACACATGCTCTCAATAGTATTTATAAAAGATAATTCTTCTTTTCAAACTCCTTTGGTTTTAAGAAGTCAATAATTAAATAAAACCACAATATGAAAATAAGAGGAAATTTTCTATTATTTCTGCAAGCAAAATTCTTTGCTTTGTTCACTACTTTTCTGTGATACCTCTGAAAAGTGGTTTATAATGTAGAGACAACTGCTCTTGAACTCAGGCATTCTAGAGACAGAACTGGAGTGCTGCACCCAAAACCTGCTACTGCTTGAATACAGCTAACCCTCAGCTTCTTAGTACCAGAAAGCAGTCACAGCTCTGGTGGTGAAAGGCTGATTTCACATTGGAAAGAGGGAAAATATAGCACAATCCTGGAACATCTTCCTATGCAGAAAAGCAAAGATAAGTCAGAAAAATGGAGTTATGATAAATGGACACAGAAGTCAAACTACAGAGACTCCTGTTATGCCCTGTATCCAGATGTGTGTTGTGTGCCCTCCCTACCCTGCCACCTTGAGCCCCTGGAGCTTTTCAGAGGTGGCTGGATCTAGGGTATACATCTTAGTTACTTTTTACTTGTCGCTGAGACAAAACACCTGATGCCCAAAGTTGGGAAAGGAAAGATTTATTTCTTACAGTTTTTGGAGGTTTCAGTCCATACTCAGTTGGCTCCAAGGCAGGGTGGCATGGCGGGGCCACAGTTCATGGCAGCTGCAAACAGCAAAGCAGATACCAGCAAGAGAGCAAGACATGCCTTCTTCCTGCCATTACATCACATGCTGGCTCCACCCTATGTGGGTGTAGCAGTGACATCATCAATCCAAGCACTAGACAATGAACTAATCACAGATGCATAATGTAAATGCATGAGGCCTGGGGGCCACCAACATAAACCATGATAGTGTGTGGATATGGATTAAGGAGGGTGTGTGATAACTAAATTAGTCTACAGACTGGTTTAACATAATGCTGGGTGTGGATAATGAAAAGGCCCATCCTGGACATGGGTAGCACCCACCAACAGATGTAGAGCCTGGGTGGAATAGAAAGTGAAAGAGGAAAGCTGCTTCCTGCTTGCACACCATGGACTGTTTCTCCTCTGTCATGCCTCTCTGCCATGCCATCCTGTCTTGGAGCCAGCCAACTATAGACTGAAACCTAGAAATGCTGTGAGCTAAATAAACCTTTTCTCCTTTAACTTGTGGGTGCCAGGTATTTTGTCTCACCACTAAGGAAGTAACTACACTAATTCTCTGTGGCTGGGGTGTCACTCAGTGGTAGACCATGTGCTCAGCATGCAGAAGGCCCTAGGTTCAATCCCCAGCAACCTAAATAATAAGGAGACTTCGATAAGCCAAGTTTGAAAAACAGGAAAAACATAAAACTACTATAGCTAATAACACACTGACTGAATAACAATTAAATCCACTGAGGTAATACAAAAAGAAAGTAAGAGAAAAGAGGAAAATGTCCTTTGTTACAGAAGTCAGGACACTCAGCCGAAAATCACCGCCTCATAGTCTCCAGCATAATAAATGACTTGGTTAACTCTCCTCGAAGGACCCCAAGCCGGCTGGTGGGCATTAGTGAGGAGCATAGAATCCCAGTGATGCCAAACTGTCACTCTGTGGCTACCTACTAATTTATAGGTGGGGGACACAGTAAAACAGACATCTAGAGATCACCATGGTAACAAGGGGCTCACTCAGGTGGCCCCCTCACCTCGACCACAGGGCCACTGACTACAGAGGAAGTGAAGCCTCAGCTGTTACTATTTCCTTCAAAATTAACGGAAGAAAAACACAGTCCTCGGGTATAACAGTCACATTTTCAGGACTTGACAGCCGCTACTGCAACAGATGGATCAGCAAAGCTACAAGGCATCTGCCTCTTTGCAGAGCTCCCTGAGCTGTGCTGGCTTTATCTGCATTTCTGGTTTACAGGAAATACAGGGCGCTACTCCAGAAAATAGGATCTCAAACTCAGAATGGCCACACCTGGCCTCCTCCTGCAAAACCTCAGTGTCATGGGGAACAAAAGGAAGACTGGCAGGAGATGAAATCAGTTTTAAAAACTGAAGGCAAGTGGTCAGGAAGAAGGCCTCATGCAGGGCCTCCACACCTTCCCTGATTAATGAAGCTGTGAGTAACTAAGCCCTGGAGAGGAATGAGGTACCCTCACCAGAGGCCTCGAGGAGCAGGTGCTCTGGGCTGCATGGCCTAAGAGTATGAGGGTGAACTCCCGGAGTTCTTGCTCCCCCAAGGCACTGCTGGGCCAGAAGGGAAGAGTCCAGCCACAGAATCAGCACCCTGTAAAAAGAGAGGCAGTTTCTAGAGGCTGCTCAGATTTGATCATTGCACCAACAAATACCAGGTGTCACACACAGCATCTGGGGCTGGCTAGTGACCCTCCCTGGGACACAGATTCTCCAAGAATTCCTCAATTGCAAGAGCAATGTTAGGAAATGCAATTTCAATGTCTCTGATCAAATGTGGCCACATGGCAACTTAAGAGAAAGCTTATACTTAATGTTATCTGCAACCAGCTGAACCCTCGTGACTGCCACTCCCCTGAAAACAGGTTTTTTAAAAACATAGTGTAATACAATGTGTCACCTTCAGTTCCTGAAGCTTTTCTGAACTGGTGATAAAGCGTCCAACATGAGCTTGAACATGCTCCAGCTGCTTTAAATATTCTTGGTTTCGAGTACGAGCCTTCCTTTCAGATTCACATATTTCCTTCAGGTATTTCTTTAGTTTTACATATTTCAGCTTAAGTCTAGAAAAAAAACCAGATTTTGTTTTTAAACAATGGTGTTAGACTTTGACAAGCCTGAGGACAATTTTCTTTAACAAATTCATTAATGAGACAATGAAATCTAAGATATTTTACCCAAGCCACTAATGTCCATAGGACAGAGCGCATAGACATTTTCTGAGAGCTGAATTAATCTCATCACTGAGGTCCCACATGGGGTGCATCATGGCAGAACACTTGAAAAACATATACAAGATCACATGGTAGCACTTGCATGGTAAAGTTTTACATGGATGTATTTCTCAAAATGAAATATCATTTCAGGAGTGGCATCTATGTAGCCCCGCTCAGATTCCTAGCACATTGACATTTTTTTAATATAATAGATAACTTCAAAGTTATTTGCTCATATGGGACTAGGACATAACTATAAATGATAATCCAATATAAATGATTGAGAAATTATAATATTTGAAATATCAGAAAAGCTCTCATTTTATAAAAATATTTGTTAGGTACTCCAAAAACCAGGTGGCTAAAGTATATTTATAATAATACATGGACTCCGCCCAAACTGTGGGAAACCCTCCAGAGACTCTCATCCAAAGTGCGCTCCGAAGAACACCCTGGACCAGTGCACCCGATCTTCTCAGGGTACCAACATGCTAACCCAATCCTTCTTCATAGGTGCTGACATCACAAGAATGCCTATTACGGTAGCAACTGTGTCGTTGCCTAATGAATTATCTAAAATTTTTTCACCAAGAAAATGAGTTTTAAAAACATATTCACCTCAAAACCCAGATTGCCAAGCTGGTGGAGATTTTCCACACTAATCACTAACAGACTTTCAATCTGTAACACGAGGCCAACAATTTTCAGGAAACTATTATGCTCGTTAGTAATGATGTGCTTTGACTGCAGTTACCCGTTTACCATTCTTCTTCCTGAACAAGAACTTAGGATTGTCATTGTTTTGCCCTAACTGCATGTTGGACACAAATGACAGATATGGAGACAAACCTGACACCGGGTCTTTCATACTAAGGTGCTTCGCATTGCTAGTGTCTAGTATCTGCTGGGCAGGTTCCATGGTAACCAAGCCTTCTCCCTCTACATTCCAGTTCCTTCTCCACTCATTAACCTTCAAAGCTGGTCAGCAAGTCAGATATATATTTGCCCATCCATGCAATCACTCATACACTCAGCTCTCCACGTATGGATACCAGTCAGGTCCAGCCAACAGGGAAAACAGTCCACTAAGTAAACATAGCCTGGTGAAGGCTATGCAGGAGAGGAAAGACACCGTCACAGGTCACAGGCCAGGCAACCCTGACTGGGGGGAGGGGAAACAGAACCTTCCCAGCGGAAGTATTTTTCAGCTGAGGCGTGAAAGATAAAATTAAGCAAAATTGGGAAAACAAGAATAAAGAGATAAAGGGGAAATTTCTGGGCAGGAGAAACCATCTGCAAGAGAGTTTAAAGGCAATAAATAAGAATTAATAGCAAGAATACTGATAAAAATACTCCTAGTAAGTTCTTGGTTCATCATTTGGGTCAGCACTGCTTTAAGGCTCTATGGGCATTAACTCACTGCATGCCTGTCCAGAGCTACCATTATTCCTGATTAAGGTAACTGCCATAAGCCCACACAGATGGGATTCAGGCACTGACCTAAAGAGCCAACATGCTTCTGTGCCATACTCAAAAGAGCAGTTGTACTTAAGAAATTGAAGTTTCAGGCAGTGCAGAATTTTAGGGGGAGGATGGAAAGATGTGCTGATGATGGAGAACCTGGTGGGCCATGGTGGGAGACACCTGCAGGGCCCTAGTCCATCTCCTGCCACCTTCCTTCTGCCAGCCACCACGGCAGCACTAGCCTCATCTCCCCAGCATCTCCTGCTCTCCCAGGATGGTTTCGCTTTAAAAGGAGCTGGGAACACCTGTGCATAAGGAGCTCTCCCCAGCAGGCTACCTTTACAGTGGGTGGGGATGCTCTGCAGAGAAAGGGCTCCTCTGAAAGTCTGCAGGAGCCGAAGCAGGCGCCTCCCATTTCCTTCTTCCCAGACTCCTCTCCAGCTGTGTAACCACCACCTCCATAAACCCTGGTCTCTGGTGCTGCCTTCTCAGGGGGCCAAGTTAGTTAGCATGGATTTTAAGGTACAGGGAGCTGCCCAAGCACAGGCTGCACAAAGTCTACAGCTATCCTGGCCCTGTCGGCAAAGAGCTGGCAAAACGGCAGCTGCCAAGACTCGGGCTGAGCCTTCAGCCAGAGCACCTCAAGACAGCTGTTTCTTGTCTCAATTTTGGAACTGCCAGGGCCTATGGCTTCTACCTTGACTGGAAACCTTGGAGGTACACTCATTTTAAACTGAAGGGTAATTCTGAAGATTAGGAAACAGACTTCTGGGTGATCTGGTTTTACAGTATTCTTGTTTCTCTTTCTCAAGTATTTTCATTTCTCACTCTTAGTGTCCCATGCATAAGTCATAATTTAATGCCATCATACCAGAAATTCTTTATACGAATGTTAGAGATAATGGCATACATTTAACTTAAGAATGAAGTTCAGTTTTTATAAATCAGAAATGAAGATATTAGTATCATAGTAAGTAACCTGCAGAGGAATATATATATGTATATATGTATAAAACCTGTTATATTAATAATTTTAATAGTCATTCTCATACATCCATAAAATATGAGACACCAGGTAATCCTGCCTATTATAGTTTTTTCAAATATCAAACATAGTAATTATACGTCTTAATTATTATAGAAACCGCATGAACTTAAAATATCTAAGTAAAATATATTCTTAAAATAATATCACCAGGGGCTGGGGATTTAGCTCAGCGGCATAAGTGCCTGCCTTGCAAGTGTGTGGTCGTGAGTTCGATCCCAGGTACTGATAAAAAAGAAAAAGACAAAAAATAATAATAATAATAATGTCACTGAATAATGAAAAAAATTGTTGATAATATTAAATTACAGTAAAAAATTTAAAAAATTATAGCAGCCAATTCAAATCATTATATAGTAGAAATAAAAAAGTGGTAAAAATATTTCAACTACAAAATAGAGAACATGGTTTAAATTTTGGTTCACATTTGCAAGTTACTTTAAAAACTGTCACTACCGCATCACTTACCTGTATATGTCAGACTGATTATACTCATAAAGTTTCTTTTCCAGATCTAGTCTCTTCTTTTCACTGTAATCCAGAAAGAAATATTTCATAAATCATCATATTGATAAGTAATAAGTTGATGAGTTTAGGCCATCACCTTTCAAAATCATGTCTTTCCCCAAAAATTCCACCAAAAGACTTAGTGATTTAATAAGCAAATTCAGTAGTGTAGCTGGCTACAAAATCAACACTCAAAAATCAATAGCATTCCTATACACAAATAACAAACTCACTGAGAGAGAAATCAAGGAAACAACACCTTTCACAATAGCATCCAAAAAAATGAAATACTTAGGAATCAACCTAACAAAGTAATAGATGTGTGTATTGAAAATCACAGTACTCTGAAAAGGAGATTGAAGCGGATATCAGGAAATGGAAAGAACCCTTGCTCACTCATGGATAGAAAGAACCAATGTTGTGAAAATAGCCATACTCTCCAAACTGTTATACAGATTTAATGCAATTCTGATCAAAATACGTTTATCACACCTCACAGATCTAGAGAAAACATTCTAAAAATTCATCTGGAAACAGAAGAGACTTAGAATAGCGAAGGCAATTCTAAGCAACAAAGGCAAGGCATGTGGTATTACATCCCTGATTTGAAATTATACTACAAAGCTATTGTTATAAAATCAGCATGGTACTGACAAAACAAAATCTTATTTTTGACAAAGGGGTGAAACATGTTCACTGGAAGAAAGATAGCCTCTTTAATAAACAGTGCTGAAAAAACTGGATCTCTACATGCCAAAGACTAAAACTAGACCCATTATGTATCACTGGGCACTAAACTAAAGTCAAAATGGATCAAAAATCTAAATATTAAAACAGAAATACTAAATCTACTGGAAGAGAAAGTAGGCAGAAATCTTGAAGACATACAGGTAGGCAGACAGTTCATAAACAAAAACCAGAATACATAGGAAATACTTTTAAAAATTATTAAAAAGGCTTTTACACATCAAAAGAAATCATCAATAGAGTAAAAAGACAACCCATAGAGTAGAAAAAAAATTTTAGCCAATAGTCCCTCAGACAAAGGACCTCTATCTAAAACATATAAAGAACTGAAAAAACTCAGACCTCCAAATTCAAAGATCCAAATAAGATCCAAAAATGGGCATCTGAAATGAATACATACTTCTCAGATGAAGAAATATAAAAAGCAAATAAACATACAAAAAATGTTCAACATCATTGGTCATTCGAGCAATACAAATTAAAACAACACTGAGATTCCATCTCACTCCAGGAAGAATGGCTATCACCAAGAAATCAACCAATAACAAATGCTGGAGTGGCTGGAGGGGAAAAGGAACCATTCTCCACTGTCTATAGGAGTGAAGACTGGTGCAACCACTGTGGAAATCACTACAGCGATTCCTCAAAAAGCTAGGATTAGAGGTCCCATTCAACACAGACATCTTCCTTTCAGGTATCTTCCCAGAAGAATTAAAAACACCATGCCACAGCAATATATGTATACCCATGTTTATAGCAGCACAATTTGTAACTGCTAAATCTTGGAAACAATCGAAATGCCCATCAATTGAGGAATAAAATTTTAATTTTTTTTTTTTTTGGTCTTTTTCCTTTTTATTGGTACCGGGGATCAAACTCACGACTGCCTGCTTCCAAGGCAGGCGCTTATGCCGGTGAGCTAAATCCCCAGCCCCGAGGAATAAAATTTTAAAAGGTGGTATTTTTATACAATGGAATACTACTCAGCTATAAAGAAAGATAAACTTGAGACATTTATAGATAAATTGATGTAACTTGAGACCATACGCATAAGTGAAATAAATTAGACTCATTCTATGAAATGAAAACTTCATATTGTCTCCCTGGTGTGAGAAACTGAAAGAGTAAATAAGGTCTAAAATATACAATAGATATTGTAAAATGGGAAGTAACTGCTTTAAAGGCAAAAGTAACTGGGGTAGGGGTGGGGAATGGGAAAGGAAAGAAAGGAAAAGGGGGAAAATGCAAGGCAACTAAACTGTTAAGTCTCTTAGCACACTAAAAGGAAAGGCTCATGCTAATATCCTTTGGAATAATTTTTACACCCCTATCTTGTACTCTGAGTACTTCGAAGGTGACAATATGCAGTGGATTAACTATTGTAACTATTTTCTTTTATTATTTTGTTATGAATTTGTTTTACCTTTCTTCAACAAATTAAAATTTAAAAAAAGGAAATCACATCTCTGTGAGGATGGGTCTCTGGTCTAAGAAACAGAAAATGCCATATGTGTTTGAAACATAAACATAAAAACATTAGTAGGGAAATCCAAAAACAAAACAGACCCCAACAGGAGGCAAAACCCCAAGATTCTCCCTCACAGCAAAGGCTGGAGTGCATGCTCACCCCTCAGGAGGGACTTCAAAAGCACCTGGGATGAGCCAGGTACTCACCTGCACCCTGAGCCCAACGTGCTGAGCAAGCTGCCGTGGCCTACCTGGGGCAGGTGACCTTTCAGGGGGAGACGAACAAAAACAAGACAAAGACTTGCCATGTTGGAGCAGTGGGCCTGTGTGGTATGCTTCCCCTGAGCCACAGAGGACTGAAGACTGGTGGCTCCTCAGGGGCCTCAGGAGTCAGGGGCCTGGGCACAGCCAGGTGACAGAGCGTACACCTGGCCTCCCGCTCATCTGATGAAGATCAGGTCCCCTAACATTCTAGACTCCCCTTTAATAACTGTGATGATGCCCTGCCCGTATGCTACTAGCACTTGGGAGTAACCCATTAACCGGTGATACTCAGGTGAGAGCTGGTGCTAAGTTGAGTGAGGACCTCCAGACCCAGCAGAATGAAGAGACACAGGCAGAGGTAGTTCTGAGAAAGGAAGCAAGGCAGCCCAGGGCTAGGGGAGGAGAGTGGAGCTATACTTGGAGGCCCTTTAGACGGCTCCATCTGACGCCACCACGCAGCGCAGCTCACCTCACTGAAGCCCAGCCGTCATTCCGAGTTAACATTAACTAAAAGCTGTAAGAGAAGCATATCATTCAGAGAGAATATTACTCAAGGATGTTGAGACAAAGAGCAGGACTCTGGCAGCAGGTGATCTCGAGCTGGCCTCCCATAGGAAGGTTCCCTTCGTGAACTCTTCATTTTTTCTGTTTTCTTTAGGAAAAACAAATCCCACTGGGGCCTGGTGGTGCACTCCTGTAATCCCAGCAATCTGGGAGGCTGAAGCACGTGGACTGACAGACAGTTCAAGCCCTGCCTGGGCAACTCAGTGAGACCTGTCCCAAAAGAATAAAAAGTCTGGGGATGTAGCCCAGCGCTAGGTTCAACCCCCAGTACTGAGGTTAACAACCCCCAAATTATTCTGGAGCTATGTTACTAGTTAAGTTTCTTTCTCAGCATAATATAAAGTGGAAATTTCCACTTATTCAGTGCTCTCTTGATGGTAAATGAAATTGAATACCAAACAGAGCCTTTGCTTGGGGAACACAACCTATTTTTCACCTAGAAAATGCGTTAGAAAGGAGAAAAAAATCATAAAACCAAATTTCTAACCGGTGCTTATTTTCTCATTAATAACATGAACTCAGAATAGAAATGAAGGAAACATGGTATAATTGATCCTGCACTAAAAATTTTTATTAGCAACTTTTCCCTTGAGAGGTTTTACACTCAGTTGGGTGCTTTGTTCATGACAATAGCACAGCATGGGCAGAGACAGACAGACTTAAAAGCACCAGGACATGTGTCCCAACACACTGCTCCATCCCTGTAGTGCTCCTGCTAAGAATGTGTCACTGGAATCTTGGGGAGGAACCAAGAGATGACCCAGCTTGCAGGTCACCATCTAGAATAAGGGCTGACCTCTGTGTGACTGTCCAGAGCATGAAAGAAAAGGCAAGGCTGAGAAACAGTTTCAGACTGGGGACACTGAAGAGACACAAGGTTCCCAGATGAGACCTGGGCCAGAAAGAAAAAGGGACATGTTTAGGACAGTTGGAAATGTGACGAGGGCCTGAACACAGGTGTACCGAGAATTATCTTGCAAGAGAATGTGTGAGCACATCCTAGTGGGTCAGGAGGGAGGGCGGAGAAATAAGCAGGGCCTGTCAATTATGAGATCCCAGGACGGTGCCAGGTGATTCTCAGGGCCCCATATGTGGAACTTCTTGTGGGGTCCCCTTGGGATGTGGATGACACATAGAGACACAAAGGTCAGGAGGAGCCTACTATCATGACACTCACAGTCACCCACTCTGTGTTTTCTAGTCTAGGGTGCGCTCCTGTTCTGCTCTTTTTCTCTTGTTTGGCCCAAACTCCCTCTACAGAGCTAATTTTTCCTTTACTGCTTCACTTGTCACTTTTCAAATAAACTTTGGCACTGTTTTTTGGTTTGTCTTGTTCTGGTCTTCATTCAAGGCAAGTAGGACCTAGAATGTTTAACTGGTGAGTCATTTCTAAAGGAACTACCCAATAACACTTGCTTTATGGGAATATTCACTAGAGATTTTAGGAATAATGGGGAATTCTACCTGTAATTCTCAAGTGGGTCAGAAAAACTGAAAATGTAATGAAACAGTAGCAGTTGAATAAGGGGTGTTTTGGAAGTCTCTGTCCACATTTATAACTTTTTCTAAAGGTTTTTTTTTTTTTTTTTTTTTTTTTTTGAGACAGGTCTCACTATGCAGTTCAGGCTGGCTTTGAGCTCACTTTGTAGCCCAGGCTGATCTCAAACTCACAACAATCCTCCTGCTTCAGCCTCCCAAGCGTTGGGCTTACAGGCATGAGCCACCATGCCCAGCTACTTTTCTAAAGCTTGAGCTTATTTTGAAATGATTTTCTAATTAATCTATGACATTTTCTGAAAAAAGATCAAAGTCTCTTTGGAGATCCATCCCCTCCCAAGCAGTAAATTCTTTTTAATAACAAATGCAAAACTTCTTTGTTCCTATTCCATCTTCTGTACGTATAGACAGGAAAGGAACAAAGATCACATCTCCTCTCCATAAAGAACACCTACTTCATCAACACTCCATGGCCCTTTACTCCAGGCCAAGTGGTATTAATCTTGTCAACTCTTTGCTACTGGCCCATTTTCTAACCCCTTCATCCATCCTAGAGCACTCTGCCAAGATCGTTAGTCTGTTGCAACTGTTAGTCTTAAAACCTGGTATTTAGTCCAGTGAAAAAGGTAGAAGGCGGCATACTGCAGGACTGCCTCCTTATGCGTATACACTAAATCTCCCTCCAGAACCTTTTAATCACACCAATCATAGGCATTCTCTCATAAGGACTAAGGCAAGTCTGACACAGCTGGGTGCTCCTGAGATGGTTGAGTGCTCTCCTTTCAAGCCATTTATTATTCTGTTTTTTCCTCAATATCACAATTCTCCACTATCTTTGGCTTTACTCAACTAATATCCTGGTGTCGATTTCAAAACTATTATGATATCTCACCTTGAATCAATATTGGCATTGAAAAACTAAGCCTTTAAGAGAGATGTTTTTATATACAATAATTCTAAGACTGAATTCCACTTACACGTTTCTATCATGCTTGTGGGCACTATACCCACTACAAGTCACTCCATTAAGTTCTTCAAGATTCAATTGTTGATTCTCATCACAATGCAGGGAAAACACTGTATACCCACAGGAAAACATTCAGGCTATAAAATTACATCTATGTGAGAATACATAGAAGTATTCATAAAATGACCTGAGCTCAAAACATGACAGTTTTGAGAGCAGTTTTTAGACCAGCTAACATTTCAATGATTTTCTCTAATAGGGCTGAAGGAAGGTGGGGAAATATTTGTTTTGTTTTGTTTTTAAATCTCCCATTCCCCAGAAATTTCTGGATTGATAAAACCATCTTGACTACCATGCAGATTGCAATCTTTGAAATGACTGGGATTTTAGAAACAGTGGTCTCTTGTGCTCACCAGCACTAATTTTAATAAAAATCAAACAACACATTCAAACAAAACACAAAGATGTGCTTTAGTATTGTTTTGCAAAATTACAGCTTTCAATGTTTTTTAAACTTTAAGGCCTATTACTCTCAAGAAAAGAAATACACCTTATTTTGTGTGTTAGTCAAGTCCCCTCATTTCTGGAGCAGAACCAAGGTTCAGAAAAGCCAAAATTATCTGATCAAAGTCTCGTATCTGGTCATGGACTAGAACCCACGCTTCCACATTTTTACTGCAGCTTTATCTTTATTTAAAGTTATTTGCCTTTATTTAGTGTGTACTATGCATTAATTAGTTATGGATTCTTAAAATGAAAAATGAATATATGCAGTAGCAGATTTGTACTAACTTAAAAATAAAACAAATTTCCAAATGCAGAAACACGAATAGGCCATAAAATTTAATTCGAATTTCTTATATAATTTCAACAGCCTCACCTTGCTTAATAATTAAAGCAATAAGCATTAAACATTAAGTAGGTAATGATTACACAGTTATTGTACCATAAGGACTATAAACAGCCAGGTGTTCCTAGCACAGTATACAAGAATAACTCACAATTAACCTATTTTAAGAAGAATAACACTTATATCCACAACATTTTAAGATTAGGTCTTTAGCTAAGACACACAATAACTGAAACCCTACCATACCTAAGCCACTCTTCAAACAGAATAGATGATAAGCCCAAAAGCACTGTAAGGGTCTTGAAACACACAGCAAGTCTTGTTCTTTATTTATCAGGAAGGTGCTGACAGTTATCATCACACTTATCACAGTATCATCATCACACTGATCATCACACTTACCACAATATCATTAGGTCCACTGTTCCTGGTGGACTGGAAAATGGTTATTATTTAGGGATAATATGTGACCATAGCATTCTATGCAAGGTATAGCTCCTAGACACTAGCTGGTTGACTTTGGGATTTCTTCCATAAATTCAACAAATATTTACGAGTACCTGCTCCACGACCAGTATTCTATGATGAGCTAAAGACTGAGCTAGGTTTCGTTCCTAGCCTCCTAGAATTCTCAGTCTAGGCAAACAGCAAATCACTTTAACCCCCATAGAGTGCTTTGAGAAACTTAGGGAGTGGGTTTCAGGAGCTCTTCAGGGAATGATTTTTTTTTTTAAGTTGGAGATGCAGAAGTCCCTGGCTGGGGTAGGTGAGTTGGCAGTATGTCAGGAAGAAAACAGAACGTGGAAAAGATAAAATACAATGCAAACAAATAAGGAGGCCTGTTATACATGCTCTAAAATAACTAATACTAAATGCAGCATAAGATAAATGTAATTCCTCTTGAAAATCACTCACTTCCGCCTTTACCTGACACATAATTACTGTGTTTTGTTATCATTTTGGAATTGTCACAGATAGCTCTCCTGTTCAAAAGAATGATTTTGCAACTTTTTATGCTCATTAAATGTTTCCTTTATCAAGAGATCCAAAAATCTATTTCCTTTCTTGTCAACTAATGAGATGTCTAACTCTATAATTAATTTGGCAGCTAAATATGAGTTCCAACAACTTACCTTTCATGTGGTTGTTCACAGTCAATTGCTTTCTAATTCTTTCTCTTTATGCACTTTTAGATCTGTTTTCAGGGTCCCATCTTTTATGCGTTAATCAAAGCCATTAGAACTGTGGGGAAGCTGGAAATTTCATTCCTTTTTTGCAAGTCTAACCAGCCCCAGCTACCCCTAAAAAACTAACCAAACGCCTGCTGCACTGGAGTGGGGTGCGTGTGACACACACACTCTCCCGCTCGAGTTCCCAGATCTCTCAACTGGACGTATAGCGGCTGTCAAGGCCGGACGACAATCCGAAGAGCGAGGAGGGTTGCGAGCAGGGGACTGGAGAAAGTCCCAGGGCTTGATGTTGAGTGACTTGCGTCTCGGCGAATTCGGGGACGCGGCTTTGGTCGCCGCAGGTGAGTCCCAGCCCTTGCGCGCCACCCCCAACCCAGGGACCTGGGAAGCCGCAGTCCAGGCTAGCTCCAGATACCACGCGACGCCCGCCCGTCCGCTCCACCACCCCGCCCCCGGCGTCATACCTGTCGCGCAGCCCTTGTTGGAGGCGGCCCACCCTCTCGTAGTACTCAGGGCTCGGCAGGGGCGCGGACGCGGCGGGAGCCCGGAGCATGGTGACAATCTTTGCTCGCCCCAAGCCTCAGGGTAGTCTGTGGGCCCGCGTTGCCACGGAGACTGCCCCAGCATGCACCTCGGTAAACATGGCGGGCAGCTGCCGACAGGGGCGGAGCAAACTGCTGGGGCGGGGCGGGGTTAGGGTTAGGGTTAGGATGGGGCTGGCCAGTGCCGCAGCCGGGTTGGGCGCCGGGGGGGGGGGGGGGGCGTGGCATAGAAGTTGGGAGAAGGAAGGCAACCCGGAAGAGACGGACGGGGCGGGGTGTTCGGGGCAGTACGGGGTCGCGGTCCGGGTTGGGAACGGGGTCGCGGTCCGGGTTGGGAACGGGGCCGGCCTCTCCCCAGGTTCCAGGCTCTCTCCGCCCCGCAGCTGATAGGTTCCCGTTTCTTTACCCTCAAGGACTTGCGCAAGCCGCGGTAATTTTTCAAACTGCATTCTCGCTTCTTTCGGCCTTCCTGCCTCCTTTCCTCCCAGGATCTGCTGAATGCCAGGCACTATTGATAAACTTGTTTTCCCAGCAGCACTATCAACCCTAGAGTACTGCGCTGCTTACTTGAAAATGCACGCGCCTTCAAGAGAGGCTTAATGCTTCAGTCGGGGCAGGGGCGCCCATTGGGCCTTTGAGGACCTCCCTGGAGTCCTGCCTGGTTCCTGCAGCTCTGCCTATTCCACGTGCAATACAGGCCATCCTTGAGGCCTGGGCCCTCCCAGGATTAGAGTCCTGTCAGATGAATTAACAGCTATGAGAGGTCTCTGCCCTCACCGCGGGGTGAGAAGCTGCCTGAAGAAAGGCCACCTTGTTCCATGCCCTTGCCCAGCACTTCCGTCCCTTCACTTATTCATGTCTTTGGTTTCTTTTCTCAGCGGTTAATTTCACACATGTGCATGGTGTGACTTTAACCAGTAAGCTGAGGAGCTTTAGCAGGAGAAACAGAAGCATCGACAATATAAAATCACCATGGCACTTAGCTTTCCTTTACCTTGCCACGTCCAGAGCAAAGCCTCAAACGGGATCCCACGTGTCATCTGCCTCAGCGCTAAAACTTACAAACCAAGATCACAATCTGTAGGGAAATAGGTTCTCCACTCCAACTTTGGCCAAGGCACCTTCTTAAGAACCCAGAAGCCCAGGTTGGGCTCCTTCCCTAATCCTTCGCCCAGGCTGAGTCCTGCCTCAGCAAGGCCTCTCGCGGCCGGGGGTGTGTGTGCCCTCCCTGCACCCCAAATCCTAGATGTGCCCACACACCTGCCTCAGCCCCCTCTGGGAGGCGGGGTAGACGACTATGATGGTCCCCTGCAGGAGCCCCCCAGCACAAAGCTCTGCAAGGGCTTGGAAAGCAGCAAGCGCCCTGTGCACATGCACATGTCAGGGGCTACCCTGTGTGAGTTCTAGCTGGGTATGCGGGTAGGAGTTCCACAAGCAGAGCTCTGACCCTGAGCCTTTTCGCAGTTGAGGGGTGGCCAGAGAAAGCTCAGCATGGACCTTTAATGCATAAAGCTGGGGCAGGGTCTCCTCCAGCCTAAAGGTAGCACAGATGTGACTTTCACTTGGTTGCCCTATCGAATCATTTTAGCGAATTGCTTCAGTGATAGAGAACAAAAATTTCTTTTATTGATTTTAGTGTAATCAAAATTATACTATGAACCTGACAAAAGAAAATGCACAACATTTTTAAGGTATTTTATTTAGTTACACTTCCCCAGCTTAGCTTTTTAAGGAAAAGAAAAATCCCCAGGTAATTAATACAAATATTTTTTTAAAGATTTTTAGCAAATAGCATAGAATAACCAGGTGAAGCAGTCATTTAGCATCCCAATTTTTTTTTTTTTTTTTTTTTCCTTTTTACTGGTACCGGGGATCGAACTCACAACTGCCTGCTTTCAAGGCAGACACTTATGCCGCTGAGCTAAACCCCCAGCCCCAAAACTTCACTTTTTTTTTTTCTTGTTCGTTTTTATCGGTACTGGGGATCGAACTCACGACCGCCTGCTTGCAAGGCAGGTGCTTATGCCGCTGAGCTAAATCCCCAGCCCACATTCCAATTTTTTATTAGTCCATTTTAGGAAAGATTCAATAGTAAATAGATAATGTAGAGCAATTAAAATTGCATTCAATAGTTGATTCATTAATGACATGACATCTAGATGGAAGATCCTTTCATTAACAACAACACACAGCAAATGAAAGGAATGTATCTGTAATATTTATTCTAAAATTATGCATCCTAAATGTTGACAAACTTAATATATTCAGAATTCTTCACTTTGAATAGTTAATTTGCTAGGGCAATCTCTTAATATTTTTCTTCGGTTCTATATCAGCAGAGCCAATTTCTGTTAATAGCTCTACTTTTAGTCCACATAGACCGGGCTATCAGGTCTGCCTGGATCATCTGGATTTTCATAAGTTTCCAGAATGTCTTTGCTAGAAATAGGGATTTTAGCTTTGCCCTTTTATTTTACAGAGGACAAAGACTCAGGGCAGGGAAGAGAGTTGGCCTAGGTCACCCAGCTAGTAATCTGTATACTATTAATGATTCCAGCTCGGAATAGAAGTTCCTAATAGACCTATGGCAAGGGAAACCACTGTCTCAGCCCAGAAGTCATAGAGGTGTTAAGGGGAACAGGTACAAAATTTAAAATGTAAACACTATGCAATTTATTTTACTTATTTTTACTAAATTTTACTTATTTATGCCAAATTCAACAACTAACATTGGATATTGTATTATTTAGGACAGCCATACAAAGTACCACACTTGGGGGCTTAAACAAAAAGATCTATTGTCATCATTTGGGAAACTAGGTCAAGATCTAGCCGTCTGCAGTGTCAGTTCCCTCTGAGGGAGATGAGGGAGAAGAACATGGTCCATGCTGCTTTTTGCTGCTGGTGGTTTGCAAGCAGCCTGTGGTATTGCTTGGTTGTAGGTACCTCACCCCAGCCTCTGCATTGCCATTCTATAGTGTTCCCCCAGTGTGTGTCTCCAAATGTCCCCTTTTTATAAAGGTACCAATCCTATTGGATCAGGGCCAATCTTCTTCCTGTATTGCTTCATTTTAACTAATCATGTCTATTTACCAATGAGGTTGCATTATGAGACACTGTGAGTTAGGACTTCACAGTGTGTATGTTAGAGAGAACACAATCCAACTCATAATAGAGATGAACATTAGAAAATATCTAGTTTGTAATCGCTGTCTAGCAGTATTAGCCATTGCATCCTAGATTTTGGAAATGGAGACAAAGCGAACCTAGGAGATAGATGGGGAGGCTGTGTTATTATATCTGTTTGTGTAACCCCTTCCACCATCAAGCATCTATACTTTTGTTAGTAATATACAACTACATCAAATTGTGTTTCCACCAAAATTCTTACTGAGGATCTATATGCCTATCCAGATGGTAAGGGAGACTGCAAACCTGGAACAGGAAGATTAACAGTTGATATCTGAAGAGAGAGGTATGAATAATGAAAGCAAAGACATCGTGGAGCACTATCTAGAACAGCTGTATCCAATAAGCTCTTTTGCAATGATGGAAAGGTTCCAATGTGTACTATCCAATATGGAAGCCACCAGCCACATGTGGCTACTGCTGCACAGTCGAATATGGTTCTTCAACTGAGAGACTGAATTTTTAGTTTAACTAACTTTAGTAATTCACATTTAAATTTAAGAGTCCAATGGAGTTAGCAGCTGCTATGCTGAACAATGCAGATCCAAAGTGGAAAGATACAGGAGTGAGAGATATACCAGCCGATGGAGACGCCAGGAAGTAGGCAGGAACTAGATGAGGTACCATCCTTGGTAGGAGATGATGGGGTCAAAGGGAAGTGAATGGTTTATTCTGTGTGTCTACCTAGCAGGGCGTGGTGTCCTGTTGTTGGAAGAAACAGCAGTCTAGAAGGTACTGTGGAGATCTCTTCTGGTTAAGTCTCTTGATTGAGTAGCTGAGACTCACTCAGATCCAGGAGGGTGCTGTGTTCTGGATATACGTGAGTGTCTTGCCCAAGAGTTCAGGAGTTGGAGGCTTAATCTTTCATGGGGACCTGTAAGAGGCAGGGGCTGATGAAGGTAACTGGGCCACTGGGAATACTGTCCTCAGAAGCAACTGGCAGGGTTCTCACATGTAGGAAGCCCTGTAATTGGCTGCCACCTTATATCTGCAGGCCACACCACCTTAATTTCCCTAGGAGTTAAGTTTGGTAATTAAACAGCACCTTGCCTAGCTTGTTTGGCCTGGCCTATTCAGGGATTATGCTTATGAGCCCATGAGTGGGAAATTTGAAAATTTGATAACCTATGACCCTCAGTATTGCCACTGTTGCTAAGTTACCTGCTGATGTCTCCGAACCCAAAACCCTCCTCCCCAATACCCTATATATTTGATACTCATTTCTTGAATAAACGAGACTTGATTGGACTTCGTCTTGTCTCCATTCTTTGCATCTCTTGTTTCCTTTTCATCCCCACTCCCCCTCTAGGGTCTCCATGGACTTACCTGCAGGCCAGGACACTCACAGAGCCACTCGAGCTCCAAGCTTCATGTAGTCCCTTAAATTGAATGTAATTCTTTACAGTCTCATGACCCATGTCCTCAACTGCCCTCCTCTGTGTGAGTGTGGTTTTGTTTATCTGGAAAGCAATGACTAATATAGGAAGACATGAGGTTACCGTGACTATTTTCCTTTAAAACATTTGTATAGTTAACTTAATGGAATAAGTTGCATATAAATTCTAATACATAAAATGAAAACATGATTTCATTTCACTTAATATCATGTAAAGCAGCAACTAGTATATGGGAAAACCTGAGTTCCATGAAAGCTAAATAATAACAAAAAGTGAAGAACAAAAATAGTTCAATGCCTCTTTCTAGAGACAGTACTTAAATGAGATGACTTACTCTGTCTCACAAGTTTTGTTTTGAGACAGTCTCGTTATGTAGTTCAGGTTAGTCTTGAACTCACTGTGTATCCCAGGATGCCTCGAGTTTATGGTGATCCTCCTGCTTCAGCCTTCCAAGTGCTGAGGTAGCAGGTGTGCACTGGACTGTGTCTCACAGCTTTTTTGTGCCTATGATTTCCACTGAACCTGGCAAA